GGGGGGGGGGGGGGCTGCTGTACTTCCATAGCGGGTTTAGGTCTACTTTAAAGTGACACTAAACTCAGGAGTTAAATCTTAAAATTGCATTTAAGTAGCTTAACTAATAACAAAAATGTATCTTATTATGAGAACTATGGGGAAAAACACTGACCCCATAGTTCCCCTTTAACTCCGGAGTTTTGTGTCACTTTCAGGTAAAGAAGACATAAAAGTGTTGATTTTAAAAAATTTAGGAAAAGAGAACTAAAAGCTGAGTAGATAGAGATCCCGAGACTTCAATAGAAGAAAAGACTAAGAACTTTTTATCCTAGGATAACTAAGAATAGTAAGGATACTAAGAAATGAATAAAACCGAGATGAAGCCTAGGAAGAACATGGACACAGAACAAGATATAGAAAACAGATTGATGAAGAAGATGATTGCAGGTTTAGAATAGGTTGAAGGCCAGTAGACCTCCTGAGATCTTCTACAGAGTCTGGCCATGTGTTTCTACACTCCAGTGAACAACTAAATGTAAATGATTATCTCTGGGCACTTCCTGTTGATGACCAAGCCCTGACCTCTCCCCAGAAGGGAAGTATTAGAGACACTTGCTTCTTAAAGAAACTCGGGTGCTGCTTGTGTTCATGTATGACCAGTTGTTGGATGGAACTTACTTGGTCCCGGGCATAGGCAGTATTGACTCGTTGCTTGTCTGAACATGCGTTGATCAGGATCTTCACAGCACCCATCTGTAAGATCATCTCCGAGGCCAGACTGTCAAAAAACGTGATATTGGCCAAAGCAGCAGAGGCCAGCAAACACGACTCCCCCGTGGACGAATCTTCACACAACTCTACAAACAGAACACAAACTCTCATACAAACCGAATATATTCAATTGTTTCCCCATTTAACCCCCGGAGACAGAGAGAGTCTAACACACATCCAACCTTTAATAATAAGTTATATGATATGAATGAGAAACATGTAACAAGTATAAAATAGGTGTTTTCCCAATTTGGCTGCAAAAGTGGAAATACACATTAAGCTTTTTGGGAAACTTTTTGTTTATTTTTCATAAAAAAATCTTTATGAAGTTCTAGAGAGACTCCTCTAACCTAATGTACACTTCCAGTGATTAATTTCTTTAGTTCAGTAGTTTAGCGGACGGGGCCGTCGTCCCTTTAATTAGATAGCCTGAGGCGCCTCAGGCGGCATCTCTTTGGGTCATGTGGGGCCATTCACATCTCCGCGCCCATCTCTTAGCAACCTGGGACGCACTGGCTAGTGTCCCGCCCGGCTCCTGGCAACCAACGACGTCACTGATTGCCAGGAGTTGGGGCGGGACGCCAGCCAGAGCGCCCTAGGTCTACAGAGGGCGACATCACTCTGGTGCACCACCACCCCACCCCCAGCCTCCGGCAGCAAAAAGTCTAGAGACACCACTATGAGCGGATAAAATTGATTTTGCACAAATTTTCTGCACGGGGAACTCACTCAGCAGGGCAGTGACTATCTCCTCCATGTTTTCCAGGAAACTGCTGAGATGCTGCGTGACGGTCAGGTGAGGAGATGTGATCTGCGCTATCACTGCCGCAACCTCCGCCTTGGTGGCCTCTGAATGAGAGTCGTCTGTAAGAATTTCCGTCAAACACAAAATTCCATCCACCTGGAAAAAAAACAAAAAAGATAAAATGGGCCGTAAAATTTTAGTATTTTATTTTTTTGTTCCTTCGTCTCCTTCGTGTCTCTACCGATAACATTCATTTATATCTGTGCAAACATGCAAATGGTGGATCATAAAGAACATATTTAGAGGGCATAAATGGGGCGTAATTATAAGGGCGTAATGAGGGAGTAAACGGCGTGATTATAAAGGTGCCCATAAACTTTACAACAAAAGTCTTGCGATGGTTGTAAAGTACTTAAAAAAACGTACGATCTGCCCATCTTGGACAGGCAGATCGTACTTGCGATCATCGCAAGCCCGCCCCCTTGAGGGGCGGGCTTGCAAAGACTGCAATGAGGGGCGGGCTTGCGAGGACGGCAAACGGGCAGTGTGCGCATGCACACACCGGCCCGTTTGTCAGTTGTCGAACAAGCAGGCCACTAACTCGCCGAGAATCGTACGATTCCCGGCGGGTTTTCCAGCCTGCTGGTTCGATGGAAGACGTGCGACCGTACAGTAGAAACGGTCGCACGCCTTCCATACACTGCACGATTCTCGTACGATCGCGGGATTTCCCGCCATTCTCGTACGAGAATCGTACAGTGTATGGGCACCTTAAAGCAGTGAATGTAACTTTCACCAAACATTCACAGGTGGTTATTCATTCCCTGTAGTTTAAAAACACATGTACCAAGAGGACTCACCTGCAGTGATTATTTGCTGAATGTCACAGTCACTGTTTTATAAATTTGCCCCATGGATATAAACATTTTGTAACCACAAATGTCAAAACAAATAAGAGATATTAGTAAAGCAATAAAAATACTATAAATGGTATAAATTGTACACCTTCCGGATTGTTTCTGTGCTGCTCGGAGTCAAAGCTCCTGTAATGTGAATAGCTGCTTTAACAATGTGCTTGTTGCCTCTATGAAAACTATCTTTTGCATCTATCTTCCTGGAGACAAAGAACAAAGACACGTGGGTGCTCTAAAACTGTAACGTGCAAGCTGAGAGAGCGGAGTGAGATGAATCTGTGATTGGGATGTATAAATTGTCTCTGCGTTTGTTGTCTGATAACCTGTTTTCCGCTATAATAAGATGAATAATGCGATTATCATGCAGTGTTATCATGTAATCTGTCTCATGGATTTCACAGACCGTCTGAGAATGTTCACAGGTGGTCAGTCATGAATGATGGGTGAATCTGCCCAGGTTCGGTTCGCCAAGGGTTCAAAATTAGGCAAACTCAAACTTTGTGGGTCATTCCCATCGAAGTCTATAGGGGGTGGGTTTTTTTGGGTGAATCTTGTTATATCAAGATCATTTTTAGAGCATTTATAGGCAAACTACTGTCAAAAAAGGCATCATGGGGAGCTGGGTACTGCCATGGGGGACATGTACCAAAAAAAGGCATAGGGAGCAAGTACTGCAATGGAGGGACATGTACCATAATAAGACATGAGGAGCCATGCACTGCCAGGAAGGACATGTACCAAAATAAGGCATAGGGAGCAGGGCACTGCCAGGAAGGACATGTACCAAAATAAGGCATAGGGAGCAGGGTACTGCTAGGAAGGACATGTACCAAAATAAGGCATAGGGAGCAGGGTACTGCTATGGGGACATGTACCAAAATAAGGCATGGGGAGCTGGGCACAGCCATGGGGACATGTACCAAAATATACGGCATAGGGAGCAGGGTACTGCCATGGGGGACATGTACCAAAATAAGGCATGGTATGCCTGTATGGTATTTTTTTGTAAAAAAATACCATACAGTGGGTAGAGTGACTCTTCATTTAGCTTTCAGCACATCACTGAAAATTTTCTTTGAGGGCTTGTTCACACCAAGCGCAGAGCAGATCCAGAGCAGAGCAGGCGCAGACCGGATCAAAACTGCGTCCAATGGATTCCTATGGTATTTTGAGCTCCAGTTCACATCGCAGCATGCGGATCCAGAGCAGGTGAAAAAACTACAGCAAGCCCTATTTTACCTGCTCTGGATCTGCTCTGGAACGCATTAAAAACGCATGCAAAACGCAAAAACGCATGCAAGTGCCTGAAAGCCCATGTTAAATGTTTTTTTTTTAACCAAAAGCGCCCCGGAACGCATCAAAAACGCGTCAAAAACACGGGACAACCCACTGCACTGCGTGTGCAGAAACCTGACCGGATCTGCTCTGCATTTGGTGTGAACAAGGCCTTACTTATGATGATGATTATTATTATATAGCACCAAAAATGTGTGCAGCACTTTACATAATTTACATTCACTTCATATACAAATCCTTTAAAAATGACTTGTATGGGGGATGCCCTAACGCTGTACCTGGTGTTACAGACTCAGTGTACACTGGCAGCGCACAATACCAACAAACCCCAAAATACCAACCTTGAAACAAAAGCACAATTTTTGGTTTAATGGGAAGCCACGCACCAACAAAATAAAGCAGTTTCATCTATAACAAAGGAACTAGCAACATAAAAGCCACTAAAAAAACAATACCACCCCCTGAACAAAAGCCCAGCAGGGCAGCAAAGTGGTTGATTGCCCAAAGAGCTAGCAATCAGATTTACAGTTTCTTGACTGAGGCTGATATTTCCCTAAGCAGACTGTCAGCTTTTCCTACAGCAGCTTCCAATTCACTGACACCATGGCTGCTCCATGTATTTAAATTCCTGGGCGGATCTTTATAAAGACCTCAGACCCACTGCAGCAGTGAACCCAAACCTCATCCCTATTGGTCAGGGAGCTCTGTTCTAAAACGCAGAACTATTGTATTGATGTTCCTTAACCCGTATTACAGAACATCCAATTAGCTTCTCGTTTTTAAAATATCAGCAGACCAGAGATCGAAATACCTCCAGAACACAAGCAGGTAGGATTCTGCATCAGAGCTTGCTGTATGAGAAGTAATGTCACTATATGCTGGCTTCATTGTCACATTGATGCCCATAGAATTTTGTGTGGACTCTCTATTTAAAGGTGAAATATGGGGGGGGGGCTTTCCACTCACCTCATAGTTCTAGCCGACCTGTGACAATGAGACTGTCACAGGTCGGCTCAGTAGATCGGGAGGTGAGAGAACACATACCGGCGTTCGCTCACTTCTCGATCCTGTCCTGTCCAGGGGAGGGGCTGGATTCCCCCCACTCCGATCCGCCAGCGCTGTCTGGCGGAAAGGACGGGGGAGAGGGCGGGTACAGCTGGCTCTGCCTCTAGATAGGCGGAGCCAGCGGTCACTCAAGCAGCTGGGCGGATCTCGACGGCGATGTCGGGATCCGCTCCGGCGTCTCAGTATACCGCGAGCTGTAGCTCCCTGTATACTGAGCTTAGGGTGATGGGAGGACGCTAGTTTGTGTCCTCCCCTTACCCTAAGGAGAACTATGGGGGAAAGCCCTGACCCCATCGTTCTCCTTTAAAGGCATTTCATTTTTATGAAGCACCCGATTGATCTCAGCCGTTACTTTTTTTTTATTTTATTCTGGGTATTATTTTGGCGGTAATCTCTTACTCATAAACTCCCACGTCCGCAGCACCCCCGAGCCATGGGCCGGCCGCACGACACATATAATTGAGCCACTTCAATACTTTGATGAATAACTTCAACTTTAAAAACAAAAAGTCTCTATTTGAATTCTGGATTATTGCGAATAGTGACATTTCGCGTCAGTCGCCCCTTCCGATGCCATAAAATGATTAGATGTGCGCATTCTTATTTAAATCCGAAAGCCACTCAGATGTTGTATGACTTCACTTTCTTTTTAGATTGGATTATTTTCCCCATGCCTCTAAATTAAATAAATTCAAATTAATAACCATTTAATTGATTCATTAGTCATGGTTGTTTTCTTTTTAATTATGTCAAGATTAATTAGTGTTGGCTTGCTGAGAGACTCTGAATCAATTTGACTGATATTCCTTGTGGAATTCTAAGTGTTATTCACAGGTTTATTTAACATTTCCCCCGGCTGCCCTCCGAGAACGGTGGGAGCTGAACTGACACGTAGCAAAATCAGTTGTGGCTGTTGCCCCCTAGTGTTGGTGATTAAGAAACGACCCTCCACCCCTCCCCACCCCCAAGGTCTGATGAGGGAGGGGAGCAGAAGAAAAATGTAATTACTGTTACTAATTGACACACATGCTGCTACCTGACAAAAACCAGGACCTCCATCAGCACAAGAAAAAGTTGGAGAAAAATTGCAACAAAGTGACCATATTTAATTGTGATCGGTTGCTTTATAATATAATGTAATATTATATATATATATATATCTTGAACATTCTTTAGGAAATGCATTCAAATATAC